CCTTCCACCACGTCCGCCTATAGTCTCCACTTAGCAGATGAGCTAACTGGAGCCTAGAGACTGAAGTAGTTCCCCAGAGCCACGCATTGAATCATCTTTTGTTTACAACATGGTGCATCGAGGGCATAAACAAAACGAGACACAGATGTCATTTCCCTCTTCTCCTATTACTTTGCCCCACATCTGAAGGTCCAGGCTCTCCCCTATGGTATCCTGAAGGCACACTGACACCCTTCCTCCCCACACAGCCAACGGGCCTCGCAATAAACAAAGCGGCCCAGTGAGGTGCTCCAGCATCATCAAGACTCCCCAATCACCCGATCACAGGGCGTGGGTCTGATCATCAACCAACTGGACCAAGAATTTCATTTTTGGAAGCAGGTGGAGGTGGTCTCCCAGTACAGGGAATTCTACGTTGATGCCAATGGGGCAGTAAGAGGCTGGGCAAGCCCGTGAGAGGGAAATGAAATGATTCACATGGTACATGGAAGGCAGTGGAATATAAAGATTCGGAGCATATGCTCCAGAGGCCAGGCACTGGGCCTCAAACCGCAGCCTTACTACTTGGGAAATGCACGAACTTGGATGAATCAACCCAACCAGGCCTCAGGTTTCCTCACCTTTAAGTGAGGATGGAAAGTTAATGACTACATTAGAGTATGGAAAAAGTTGAATGAGGTTTTGCACACAGTGCTTGGTCCAGAGTTTAATAGACAATAAGATGCATGACCTTTTTAAGCATCACCAGTCTTAGGGCCTCTGCTCTATACAACTCGAGGGCATGCCCCTGTCCTTGCAGCCTATGGGAACAGCACACCCGGAGTGTGAAGTGCACATGTGTGGCTGTATAAAACATGATGATGATGCTATTGCGAACATGCAGGACTTGTGCTTCTCAAAGTGGATGCTTGGATTATTTCTCAAAAAGAGGAGGGTGCCACTTGCTATGTGTCTTGCATGAAATGCATCTTGCCAACAAACAGGCGAGTTTTAATAGTGCACAATGGGGAAGCAAAAGGGGAACATGCACATGCAAAAAGCAAGCAAGAGCTCTGAGCTGGTTGCCAGGGGCTGCTAATGGGAAGAGAACTCCTGTAAGGGGAGGTGGGGGAACCCAGCACATCCCGTTCTGTGGGCCTTGAGGCTGCGCCTTAGCATGCTCACTGACATCAGATCAAGGTGCCACTCAATGAGGGGAGCAAAGCCAAGGCACATGCCGGCCCCAAGGAGGTATCAGGTAAAATGTAGCAGCAGGGGGGTGGGGGGGGGGCGGGTGAGCGAGGAGGTGAGAGGAGTCCACAGGAAAGAGATGACTGCAAACAGTGGAACCCTCAGGAGGGCGAGTGAGAGAGGACAGGGCTGGAAGGCTCAATCCTCACCCATGTTAACACTGCAGTTCTGAAAAAAAAAATCCCATTTAAAATTGCATCAAAAAGAATAAAACAACTAATAATAAATTTATTCAAGGAGGTGAAAGATCAGCATGCTGAAAACTGTAAGACTCTGAAGAAAACACAAATAAATGAAAAGATATTCTGTGCTCATGGGCTGGAAGAATTAATACTATTAAAATGTCCACACTACCCAAAGCAATCTACAGATTCCATGTGATCTTATCAAAATTACGAAGGCATGTTTCACAAAAATAAAAAGAAATCCTAAAATTTGTATGGAAATTGAACCACAAAAGATGCCCTGATTGCCAAAACAATCTTGAGAAAGAAGAACAAAGTTGAAGGCATCATACTTCCTGATTTCAACCATATTACAAACCTATAGTAATCAAAACAGTAGGGTATTGGTATAAAAAAAAGGCAAAGATCAATGGAATAGAATAGAGAACCCAGAAATATATATATATAATCAGTTAATTTAGACAAAGGATCCAAGACTATACAAAAGGGAAAGAATAGTCTGTGCAATAATGGTGCTGGGAAACTGGATAGCTACATGCAAAAGAATGAAACTGGAATCCTATCTTATACCTTACACAAAAATCAATTAAAATGGATTAAAGACTTGAACATAACACCTGAAATCATAAAGCTCCCAGGAGAAAACATCATGGGTCAGTTTCTTGGCATTAGTCTTGGCAATGATTTTTTGGATTGACACCAAAACCAAAGGCAACAAAAGCAAAACTAAATAAGTAGGACTATATTAAACTGAAAATGAGCAAAGGACCTGAATAGACATTTCTCAAAAGAAGACAAACAAATGGCCAACAGACATATGAAAAGGTGGTCGACATCACTAATCATCAGGGAAATGTAAATCAAAACCACAATGAGATGCCACCTCACACCTGTTAGAATGGCTATCATCAATAAGACAAGAAATATCAAGTGTTGGCGGGGATGTGGAGAAAAGGGAACCCTCATGTGTGAATTGGTGCAGCCACTATGGAAAACAGTATGGAGGTTCCCCAACAAATTAAAAACAGAGCCATCATCTGACCCAGCAATTCCACTTCTGGGTATTTATCCTAAGGAAATAAAATCACTAACTCAAAAAAATATATGCACCCCCATGTCCATTGCATTATTTATAATAGCCAAGAAGTCATCTAAGTGTCCATTAACAGATTAATGGATAAAGAAAAGAATATATATACACACACACACACACACAATGGAATATATAATTCGGCCATGAAAAGGAAGGAAATTCTACCATCTGTGACAACATGGATGAACCTTGAGGGCATTATAGTGATATAAATCAGACAGAGGAAGACAAATACCGTATGACCTCACTTATATGTGGAATCTTTAAAAAAAAACCCAAACATAAATATAGAGAATAGATAGGTGATTGGCAGAGGTGGTGGGGTGGGGGGTTGGCGGGGGAATGGGTGAATGAGTGAAGCTGGTTGAAAGGTACAAACTTGAGCCCTGCTGGGTAGCTCAGTTGGTTTGAGTGTCATCCTAAAATGCTAAGGCTGTGGGTTTGATCCCTGGTCAACCAATGAACGCATAAATAAGTGGAACAAGAAATCAACGTTTGTCTCTCTCTCTCTTTAAAAATCAATCACAAAAAAAGGTAAGTCCTGGGTATGTAATGTACAGCTTGGTAACTATAGTTAAAATATCACATATTTAAAATTTGCTAAGAGAGTCTTAAAACTTCTGATCACAAGAAAAATAATTTATAAGTATGTGAGGTGATGACATTAACTATAATATAGCTATTTTTAATAACTAAACTTACTGTGGTAATTATACTGTAATATACACATATATCAAATCATTATGTTTTCACTGAAAATGAATACAATATTATATGCCATATATATCTCAATAAAATTGGAAAAAAGTGGCATTGTCACAGTATTTGTGTAAAATGATAATAAAAAAGAATGCAGTATAGTATCTCATAATGGTTTAAGAGGAAAAAAAAACTTGGGATCGAGTCTTGCTTCTTCCACTTGCTAGGTGTGTGGCACTTGGAGGAATGACATTGGCTCTCTGAATCTCAGTTTTCTTGACTGCAAAATGGGGTAGTGATAATAACACCCACTTTGTCTAGTGGTTGCAAAGATTAAGTGAGGTGATGAACATGAAGCACTTAGCCCAGTGCGGGGCACGATTTCTCCCTGTTCTAAAAACCATTCCTGGGGAGAACTTTCTGTCTTATTATCCATATCTGAACTTTTCACAGCATGCACTTTCTTTTTTAAAATTAAATTTACTGGGATAACATTGGTTGCTAACATTATATAAATGTCAGGTATACACCTTATAATCTGGCCTCTGTATACTGTATTGTGTGCTCACCACCCGAAGTCTAGTCTCCTTACGTCACCATATATTTGATCCCCTTTACCCTCCTTATCCCCCACCTCCTTCCCCTCGTCACACCATTCTGTCATCTCTATGGGTTCACTTTTTGTTTGTTTTTATTAACTTGTTGCTTTCAGCTTTATATTTCACATATCAGTGAAATCATATGGTTCTTGTACTTTTCCTTTTCCACCCGACTTATTTAGCTTAGCATAATACTCTCAAGATCCAACCATGTGTTCACAAATGGCAGTATTTCATCTTTTTTATGGCTAAGTCGTATTCCATTATATAACTGTAGGTTTACAGTTGTGAGTATGTGAAACACAGAGTTTATTCTTGTATTATTATTTATGAACTACTGTATCATTTATTTGTGATACAACTATAAACCTACACTTGTGTGTGTACCACATCCCCTATGTGTGTACCACATCTCCTTTAGCTAATCGTTTGTCAAAGGACACCTGGGTTGTTGCCATGTCCTGGCTATTGTGAATAACAGCATGCATTTTCTATTTCATTCCAATGTCACTGGATGTGGTTTTCTTCCTAAAGCTCTTTCCCCCCTTTTCTGCAATCGAATCTTCTGATACAGAGGATACCTCCTACTAATGTCTTTCTTTGCCAGCCAGACGTTTCCCCAGGGACATTTGGTGTATTATTTAACTGAGTGTTAACATTAAACATTAACATTTTCTTTAACCAATTATTAAGAGGGAGAAAAACAAGTCTGTCTGTTTCTGCATCAACGGAGCAGTTCTTCAGATTCCATCATTTTCCAATGTGGAAATACTTCACTAATTAACCGGGATTTCAGTGAGGGCCCGTCTTCTACCTCACATCCAAGACCTGGACGCAGGAGCACAGGGGAGTCCCAGCTCAAGTCTGTGGCTGTCTGCCTACACACAACGGCCAAGCCTGGATACACATATTTAAAATATTTCCTCCATTTCCCCTCCTCCCAGGTCAGTTATCTGCGAGCATTTTGCCTAAGGCAGCTGGACTGGGAACCTTCAAGGATGTAGACAGAGGAATTGTGCAAAAAAAGGAGCCTCCCCACCAGGGTGGGAGTGCGCTGCCTGCCTCTGACCACAGATCTCTGGGTCCGAGCCAGCCCTGTCACTGTGCTCGAAGGCTTCACAGGGGACGGCTGTGATGATGGCAAGGGGGTTGAGCAAAATGCCTGGCAGGTGCCCACTTCATGGTTCTACTTACTTCTTGCCATTCCTCTACCCTCCAGGCGTAGAGCGGACACAGCGGGGCTCTGCAGGTGCGCTCCGACTCCGGCCTGGTGTACGGGTTGCACTCGGTCTCTCTGGCTACCTTGCGAGGTCCCAGCTGACAGCCCACATTTCTCCGCTGCACGCCATGGCCACAGGACACAGAGCACTGAGAAGACAGAGTGTGTAAGTGGGAGCTGTGGGTCACTGTGTGGAGGGGGGCGGGGAGTCCCAGACCTGGGGATGCACCCTCATCCGATGCTTTTCGCAGGTATCACAAGGGTTTCTAATTCCCAGTGAAGGAGACCCACTGCCTGCCCATGTCGGGGAGGAGGAGGATGTTGAAGTTTGGGGAATCTCTAAAGTGAACAAAACTCTTAGGATGATAAAGGGGTTGGGAGAGATCATTAGGAAACATTTAGCACAACCTAGAAATAGAGCTGCCACGTGAAGTGGGAATCCCAAATGATCTATTCTGGAGGATCTGAGGCTCTTGAAAATCGGCACTGCAGCACTCTACAGGAATACCTTCTTGGCAGGTTAAAAGAATAACCCAAGGAGAGGAAGTAGGAGAAGTATTTTCTCCTGCCTCTTCCTCTTTCTATTCCTGGAGATGGATGACTTTTTTAAAAAAACTATGGAATGCACTAAAGTATTTCTGTCTATCTACAGCCTAAGATGAATACATAAGAATAAAGGCTGATGAGGTAAAACCCTTTCCGCAGGCATAATGTTTCAGCTCCTGAAAAATACTGCTAATCAGGCTGAACCATTTGGTTGACCAAGTTGCAAAACACCACATTAAATCTGCAATTAACTTTCCTCTAAATTAATTTTTTAATGGCTTCCTCATTGCTGGATTTTGTAATCTCACTGATGGGTAGGCCAAGAATGATGGTCTTTATTAAGGCTTGGACAGGTAGAAACTAAAGGCGCCGCGTATTATTACACTTAGCTATTTAAAATGTTTACCAAGTTTTTGTGATAGCGCAGCTTCCATTAATTTGGCTGGCATGGAGAAAACAAGTTTAACATACATTAAAGCCATATTCCTAAGAGGAAATCTTTATAAAGAATAGAATTACGCTCTTAAATTAGAAAGAAATTGTTATCCAATTAACCTGCAGTAGGACTCATCTCACGCTGAGCTCATGGAAATTTACTCTCATGTACACCCATTGGATTCTGCTGACTAGGAACTTTATTGCCATTTCGGATTTTAAGAAAATAGGTGATACTGTGTAGAAGGCAGCTTGGGAAATCATATTGTTTCAGATGAGTCTGTGCCAGGCAGGAGCTCCAATGCTCAAAGCCGGCTGGAGAGGAACTGTTCTGGAGAAACAGGTGCTGTTGTTTGGATTTATTGGTATTCATTGGATTGCATGAGTTTGTGACCCACAAAAACCAGACTTTTAGAGTCATTATATCCCGGTGGAACGGGACCGCCTGAACAGGAGTGATGGCCTTGTGTCCAGGGGATGGCCATAGAATGCCACGGGAGCCACATGTACAGTATTTCCCACCGATTACCCTGGAAACGAGTGGACGGTGCCACGGGAGAGTTAGACACGAATGACAGAAGCATCAAACACTGTCATCACCCACAAACAACCACCACCAAAAAGCCCTGTGGCGATCTAAATTTGGGGTCTACAATACAAATCACTACATTTCCAGAATAATGTGTCCAAATGGAAATACAGCGACAGAAAAAGAACAGTTACACAAACAAATCTGAGTCGGCCACAGGGCTATCTATTCAAAAGCTCACAGTGCCTTAATAGCCTAAAGAAAAGGGAAACAGCATCAAAGACTGGTAGAGTGCGTACTTTTCAGGCTCACAGTCAACAGAACCTCTTTTTAATGCTGTCCTTGCTGAGTAAATCACTCATGGCTGAAGGAAGGCAGGGCATGGAGAACCCTAAGTATGCAACATTTAAGAAATCACTACAAGGTGTGATAATTCCTCAGAGGCAAGTAAAGACACAGGAAAGTTCAATTACATCATGTATCTCTGCGGCTTCTGGTTTTTATAATGTCAAAGCCAGCTATGAGATGACAGCAAGGTTCTCACATGGCTGAAATGCATGGCAAGGCAGGCACGCGTGGCTCCATGGGAATCTGTGTTAGAAGGGAGTGCCCTGCCTCAGGTCCTCTCTGGACTCCAGGCTTTTTCCTGTGCTGTCTCGGGGACGCAAGGATTTGCACACACAGCCAGCCAGGCTTGCTTGGCGAATCCTGAGAGGTTTGTGCAGAAACCCCATGAATAAAACAGCATCAAAAAGACCTCCACCTGACCCCGGAGGTGGTGGCGGTGGTGGCTTGTGCACTGTGCGTGCTTAATTCTTCTCATTTGTCAAGGGGAAACGTTAAGCAGCCTGTGTGAACGTGGCCCCACTGCCCTCGTTCCGCACGGCAGTCTATCTGTGTGGGATTGAAAGGCGATGTTTTCAGTTCCGAACGACTGAGCTGGAGCTGGATTTCGTCTCTGTGCTCCCTGCTGTGCAGAGCTACTTTGCAAAACTCAGCACCCTAAAGAGGGAACTGGACGCTTCTGTGCTTCCATAGATAAAAGAATCTCTGTGCAAGTTCTGTCTGGGGAATCATAATATACAGCTGAAAACCTGGAGGGAATTTTAGAAATTTTCTCCCAGTATTACTGTGGTGACATGACTTAAAGGAGGGACTAGCTTGAAAAGTAACTATATGAACCAAATATCCTATATAATCAAGAGCTAATATGCTAATTAGACCGAACAACAGAACGACCATCTGGACGACCTTCCGGAGGAAACCGGGGCTGCAAGGGCTGAGGCAGCAGCTGGGGCTGCGAGGGCCTATCCTTGCACAAATTTCGTGCATCGGGCCTCTAGTAATAATATAATCATGTAATAATAGTAACAACAGTAACAGAAGCATTTTACTAAGCATTGATTATGACCAGTCTGTAAACTAGGGCTTCACACCCTATATCAGGGGTGGGCAAACTTTTTGACTCGAGGGCCACAATGGGTTCTTAAACTGGACCGGAGGTCCGGAACAAAAGCATGGATGGAGTGTTTGTGTGAACTAATATAAATTCAAAGTAAACATCATTACATAAAAGGGTACGGTCTTTTTTTTTTTTTTTTAGTTTTATTCATTTCAAACGGGCCGGATCCGGCCCGCGGGCCGTAGTTTGCCCACGGCTGCCCTATATTCTTCTTTGTTGGGGACTGCTTGGTGCCTTATGGGAAGTCTAGCAGAGTCTCTGGACTCTACCCACTGGATGTCAGTTGCATTTCCCTTCCTCCACCAGGTTGTGGCAACCTAAGCTGTCTCCAGACGCTGCCAAATGTCTCGAGAGTTAAAAAACCACCCTGGATGGGAGCATAGCTCTATGCTAAGCACGTTACATGAAATACCTTTTGTATTTTCTTAGTAACCCTTTTAGGCAGATACTCCACAAGTAAATTAAGCACAGAGCACATATAATCACTCTAACTCAAGCAGAAACAAGGAAAAACCAAACAACAAAGTAAATTCTGTCCCTGGCAATGTACTGGCTGTAGCTACTGTGGGTTAGAATGCGGCTCCCACCTTTAGAGTATGGTGCGAATAGGAGGCAGTCTTCTGTACTATGTCAGCACGGGTGTAGGTGAGAGGCCTGTATTCAAAACAATTCAACCTCTGCTTATGGCCCAAACACAAGCACAGATATGAGAGCACACACATCTGTCCCTGAAGCTGACCATGCGCATATGGTCTCCTTGATTTCTCAAAAGACACAGCCACCTATTTGCCATGCTGCTCCCTTACACACGTGCAGAGCACTTCAGAGCCTGACACCACAGCCAAGCTGTTCTCACTGTAGTCATGACAAAAATCCTAACCCAAATGGCCAGTAGATTCATGTTGCAAGTGCCAGTTTCTATTTTGGCAATTGCTCTAAGAGCTTGAAGAAATGAATTACTGCCCTGAGTCTAAGACACCACTGATTGCGAGCACAGCATCATGTTTTTATCAGTAAGAAAGAAAACAGGGGCTGTTAATTAAGTCACGGCATTCCATTGATTGTTAGGCCCATCCTGACCCTTGCAATGGTACCTCAGGATTGGTGAACGCACCCAGTGAATGAGTTCATGACTGATAGATTCTAATTTCATTATTTATTCTTTTCACTTCTAATCTTCATTTTTAAAAAGCCTTTCAATAGGAATAGGATAAAGTTAAAAAAAAAAAAGATCACTCTGGAATGCTTTCATATTGTGACAAAACAGGTTTCTCACTTTTATCAAGAGGAATCAGGGATCTGACGTTGAATTTTGTCTTAAATTTCATAGGCATCTATCTAACCTTAGCTCTTGATCAAAATCATCTAAACAACCCGAACATGAACTTTTGAAAAAAAAATTGCTTTAAAACTACAGTGAGGATGTTTCCCAAGAAAAGCGTTCTTTTCCTTGGAGAAATTTCCTTTGCAATTTCAAGATTTTCAAAAGGTATAGGCTGAATGAAACATTCCACTTTAAACCTCAAAACACCAATTTTGAGGGAGAGACGATGAAGATTAATTAGTACAACTACCCCAGTGTCCTATCCCAATATTCCATATGTCTTATTATCATCAGACATTTTGACATGATGAGAAATTGCACTAATTATTCTTCCTACCTTGAAGAAGAGATGACCAGAAAATAGCTACCAGCAGAAGACACAGGGACCAGATATGAAATCTTCTCAATTTGTTGCAAATGGATCATCATTACTCTTGCTGTAATATCGCTGCCTTCGGGGTATTCCTGTCTACCACGGTATCATTAGTGAGCCAATAATCCTTCATCATACAGACGGCCTTTCTGCATCAGCCACTGGGTCTGATTACTTTCAGGCACACTTCTAAGCTGCACAAACTGGGCTTCACCTCTGCAGCACCTTGTCTTACCCGCTTTCCTAATTCTTTCTACAAATCAAATCAGGGCATTCTAAAGCTGGCCACAGACCACCACCCGGCTGTGTTGACTTGCATCTTCAACTAGACCAGTGGTTCTCAACCTTCCTAATGCCACGACCCTTTAATATACAGTTCCTCATGTTGTGGTGACCCCCAACCGTAAAATTATTTTCGTTGCTACTTCATAACTGTAATTTTGCTACTGTTATGAATCCTAATGCAAATATCTGATATGCAGGATGTATTTCCATTGTTACAAATGGAACATAATTAAGCATAGTGATGAATCACAAAAACAATATGTAATTATATATGTGTTTTCCAATGGTCTTAGACGACCCCGGTGAAAGGGTCCTTCGACCCCCAGGTTGAGAACCACTGAACTAGACTTTTCTAAGCAATCACTTTGAACAGGTGCGGTGTTTTCTGAGGAGGAGCTCAGATAATCCTATTAGCTTACGTTTGAAAACACCCCCGGGGTTCAAACCTAATCATCACAGCTTTGTGAGCAATTTTAGATTTCCCGTCAAGTCACAGGATACTGAAGTAAAACTCACTCTGTGTTTACCAATAAAGAGAGAAAGATTCTTTTCATTGACTTTTTATTGAATGAATTGGACTTTAAAATGGACATCATTTTACATGCTCTGAACTTAATATTCAGGGAAATATGCAAATAGATAAGTTAGAGGCTAAGGAACATAAAGAAAAGTAAGAGCAGGAAGTCTAATAAGGGACAGGCTAGTGTGGAATCCAAGGAACATTAGCGGCAAGCTTTTATGTGACTTGAAGGGCTCCCAAAATAAATCCTAGAAGTTGGAGATGACAGCAGTCACTTAGACAACCATTACGATGACTCGATGGAAACACCCTTGAAATCTCATCCCTTGAGGACACCAAAGGAGGACCTAGCTCTGGCTGGAACATGCTTTGAGGGTTCAATTAAAACAAAAGCAAAACATGTTCATTATGGTAAAGACCTTGAGAGGAATCAGACTCCAGTGCTGGAGAACATGCAGGGAAGTGGAGTGTGGCAGGCGGTATCGGGGACAGCTCAAATCATGTAAGAAAAATTCACATTTCTAGAATTTTCTACGGGTCATGTAGAAATGGAGGATTCTCAGCTCCTCCCATGTTAATCCAGGCACCCAGTGCTTCTTTGGGGCCTTAGGGATCAAGACCCAGCCCCTGGCAGAACCAATCTGACGGCTGCCAACCTTGACCCTAGTGTTTTATTGATTCTCAGGATCATCTGCGTGGCTCTCCTGTGCAGAGGAGAAGCACACGTTCCCTCAGACCTCCCTGAAGCAAAGCCCCGGAGAGCAGCACGGCATTAAATGCAGAACACGCAGCCTTAGTTTTCAGCGAGTGCCTTCTACCGCTCCGAGACAGGTACACGCGTGGGGAGGCGAGGTTTACTGTAGGACTAGATGCAGGGACGAGCTCATGCAGCCGTTGTTTAAAAGTAAACAGCCGTTTTGAGAGTTCCTTCTTGAACTCAACTGTGAAACTCCCATCCTCAATGTCTGACTAAATCACCCCATGTTTAGAATTAGTAGCTTATTGGGCACTAACCCCTCGCACCTTCCCAAACACACTCATCCGAACAAATGACTATTCTTGAGAGCCCATGAGATGCGGTATGTGGCACTCGTCATGGCACTGAACCCTCATAAGAACTATGTGAAGTACTGGTAGGCTCAGGGAGGTTAAAGAAAGCTCCCAAGGCCGCATCACACCCCCACCTCTCTATACAAGCAAATGGGCAGAGACATATGTTCTAATACTTTACACTGAAAGTCCTTTCTTGAAGAACCTCCACGGTAAATTCACACTCAGCTCCTGCCAGGTGACCGTGGTCCACCTCACTGAACTAGTGTCTTCTAAGGGGTGCATGTAACACAAGCGCAGTCAGGAGGGGCTGCTCTGTGCTAGACATCTGACATCTCCATCTGCTGCCACTTAGGATTCATCCTCACAACCACCCTGCCGCAGGGATTAATCCGAGTGCAAGGCCTGAAGCCACTTGCCCAGGTCCCACAGCAGACACGTGTCCTGACGCAGTCTTCCCTCCCAGTCCAGCGCTCCCCTCTGAGAAAGCAGAACCGGGCACAGGCGCGCAAGCCAGCACGCTGGTCCCAGGGCCCGAAGCAGTCGTAGGGGAGAAGCATTGCTCACCTGACTCCAGGCGCCAGCCTTCCACTTGGGGCATCTTCCTCCTCGGCACTCTCGGTGCCCACTGGGCTTAGCAAGGTGCTTACAGTGCTCACTTTCTAAAAGGCTTCCATCTCTTGCCATGCAGTAAACACTTCGTTGCTTATGCCCTCGACCACAAGAGACAGAACACTGCAATATAAAGCAATGGCAAGGTTGTTGTTGTTTTTTTTTTTTAATCACATGGAGTTTGATAAAAACCTGTGTTGTGAGATGTTAAGATCACGCCTAACAGGAGTCACCATTCCCCTCTCCAGCGCGTTTTGGTGACATCTCAAGCACGACATGGGAGGAAGGCAGCAGCGGGGGAAGGATGTCCACAGCGTGACAGCCCCAAGCCTGTGGGGTGTTTTGGGGCCACTCGAGAGAGTGGGTACATCTTGGTGATTTAGGCCAAGAGTGAAGCCCAGGGGCCTGAAGTTACCATGCAATTCTGATTTAAAAGCTCCTACTCTGAGTAAGGACTTCTTTTTAGATCTCACTTCTTGCAATCTCTGACCAAAACATTCCTTCCACAGCAGGCCTTGTGAGTCACCGATTTGGATAAAGTTGCATTTCCAAAATACAACTGTGCCCAATTTCCCAATTAAATGATTGGAGGAAATTCCTCGCCATCTTTCAGAGGATAAACTCTCATTTGCCCAGCCCACTGGGGAGACGGGGGGAGAGGCACGTTGGGAACTGGAAGGTAAGCTTGCAGGTAAGTCTGCCAAGTTCGGGAGGGAGGCATTACCTTTCAACTCTGGTTGGCAGGTTCATTGAACTGTTTTAAGTGTGACCTTGTCTGGCCACATCTGAGAAACTTGACTTTGATTTCAGATTAGGTTTCTCAGGAAGGTCTAGGAATCAAAGTGCCCATGGGGTCGGGACAACAATGTGATGTGACAGCTTCCTGCAGCACAGGCAAGAGGCTGCCCCAGTGCGTGTGCTGGGATAGTCAGCATCCCCTGCTCATTAGTGATTATAGGAGTCATTACCACGGGATCATAAGCTTGCTGGCTCAGGTTCTTAAGACACATTATTTCCCAATATAGCGTTCCTGCTTTTCAGAGGGAAAGGAGTTTAAGAATGAAGGGAATAATGTAAAAATGCAACGAAAATAGATTTCAAGTGTTGCTTCCTTCTATTCAATATTTCTTATTTCCTCCACTAACTTTGTGGTTTTGTTAACTTAAATTAGTAAACAGCCCTTTTATGCCTAATAGATAAATAGCTCCATGTAAAACATGTAGCCTAATATCAATTCAACCACTATTCTCAGCCAAGCATGCTCAAAGTTATACCATTCATAAACTTGCCAGACATGTTTTGCTAGTAGACAAAGCCATTATAAAAATTTCAATAGTAGCTGATAGATTTAAACATGTATCTTAACAGGTGTGGCCATGACTTGGCTTTAGGAGATGGATGCATGATTTGGAGCAGCCATTGTGGAAATCTTAACGGAGACAGGTGTGGAAGGAAGGAGCCCACTTTGAATATCTGTACCAAAACCGAAATAGCCATCATTCAACAGACAGTGCTGTGATGTGTATTAAGGCTTTGGGGTATAATTCTAGAAGGCTTTCAGGATAAAGTTCCTAGGCATCTCCCTGCAAACCAGAGATCCAGTGACTTGCACCCAGGCACACCCTATTATCAGTAACTAATTTTAATATTTTAAAATGTTACTTTGACAAGAAAATAACACAAGGGCACAATTAGAATTTGGGGTGAGTCCATTTGTTTATTCAACACACATTTATTGAGCACCTACTAAGTCCCAAGAATTATGCGATGTGTTGGGGATATAGTGACGAACAAAACCGATATAATACCTCTCCTCATAAAGCCCGTGACAATTATCAAGGGATGACAGAAATAAATATATGCTTATTCATTGAGAAGAGCGTCACAAAAAAAAGTCCGGAGTGGTTAGAAGAGGGCTCCCTGAGGCGTCCCCGGGGGCACGCAGAGCTCATGGTCACAATACTGTGCTTGGAACGTTTTCTGCCTGCAATGGGAAAGCACTGAAGAGCTTTACGTCAGGATAAGACATGGTCTCCTTTTTGTTTCACAAATTCTACCTTGACTACTGCGCGAACCATGGGTGAGAACACAGTGTGAGCGGAAGTACGAAAACTGCTTGGGAAGCTGTTGCATAGATGAGAGGTGATGGCAGTTTGCATTAGGTGCAGAGTGTGGGGTGGGAGGCTGGTGGATTGAAGCCACATCTTTGAGGTGGAAATGATAGTTCCCAAGGGACCAGCTGTGGGGTGGAGGGGAGAGGTTCGAGTGAAGGATGACTTCCAAGCTTCTGGTATGGGCAGCAGGATGGAGAAATGACATTTATGGAGATGGGGAAAACAACACTGGGGGTCACGGATATATTTAGTTGTAGGAAATTGACTGGACTTAAAGGATATAGACTCAGGGATGGTAAATTTGGTTGATTAGAGTAATCAGATGAATCTGGGTGAACTTAGAGCAAGTCTCTGCTTAGGGATAATCATTTTAATGTGCAAACAGTACAAACTATCCCTTAATATCGAGAGGCAGCAGGGAGTTGATAGAAATGCCACTTTAACACTCTGCAGTGGTCATCGGAAGAGAGAGCCTAAAAATAGGCAGCAACCTTCAGAGGCCAAATTAGAAAAGGTACAGCTTTCTCATGTTACTTATCTGCCCAACACTTCTCTACGGCTTGAAATGCATCATCTCATTTAACCATCCCAATAACCATAGAGACTGGTACTATTATTGGAGATAATAGGTGTCTTCAAACTGGGGTAAGCACAGTGCTTTATGTATACCTCTGCCCACACGACTCCAACACCAGGGGACAGGTGTCCATCAGGAAGTCACAGCACAACGAGAATACTACATTAGCACATCACTGACCATGCATCCGAGGGCACCCAGCATCTGACTGCCCATGAAACAGAGATGAGTGAAGCAGTCTCTAAGTCTGTTGCCAGAAGATTGTTTACTGCCTGGATTAGCGAGGTCCCACACACGCCTATGTGCCTTTCCTTATTTGGAGACCAAAATGGAACCAACTTGGAAAAAAAGAACGAAATACGTCAGCCTGACTCACTGCACATAGTACTTGCCTAACATTGTTAAGATCCTAAAACAATTAGAATATTCTCCAGGTATGTAATCTGATAGAAAACACTTTCCATTTTATGCTTTCTAACTCACCAATAAAGACAAGCAGCTGCTAGTGGAAATTTTCATCTCCAACAGTGTACTACCGGGCCTGTTATGACTTCATAAAGGAGCTGTGATTCTGATCATCAAATTAACTCAGGTTTCAGCTCCTATATTCTGAGGGAAATTTCCATCCGACCGTTTCCAGGCCTTTTGCATGGACAAGCGTCACTGAGAGCACAGTTAAATTTAGTGCGTCAGCCAGTGCGTGTTACTTACTGGCTACATATCTGAGGGTTCCTGCTCTGGGAAATATTTCATTCCTTAAATCTGCAGCTAAAATAGCTGCCTAGTTTCCCAATAGAAATGTGACCTTTTTCCTCTGGGGAAACAACCCAAATTGTTTAGAATGATTCCCCCACCCCAACGCGGAGCAAGACTCCCAAACCATGCAAGATCTGCCTCTCACTCAGACCATTGAGGCCCACAAGTAGCGCCCGGGGTTCGGGCTTTTGTTTCTGCGAAGCCTTTCTAAGGGCATGCTTAACGTGGAGCGTGCTTCAGATGTAGCCTCAACACTTGCCACAAACTAAGGTCTCAGAGTTTGAAATCCTTGCATTTTAGCTCCTCTGGGGAAAATGAAACTCAAGGCATGGGCAGTCTGCTCACGGCTTGTACCGAGGGCTCTCTCTCTCTCTCTCTCTCTCTCTCTCTCTCTCTCTCTCTCTCTCGGTAGCCCCCCTGGGGACCTGGGTCTGCTGTGCTGTCCTGGCCTCATGGGCATCGGTCCTTCCACTCCTATTGAGGGGCATGGTCTCCCCGTCACCGAGAAGCCAGCAAACACCACAGTGTGTCTGCCTAGAAGGAAGGGCTGAGACCGAAAGAGAATGGGACCCCGGAACTGCTGAGGCTGCTGAGACCGGAGCATCCAAATGAAGACGGAGGATTACCCCCGAGCCGGTAAGCACGCCACAGGAGGCATCCGAAGGGGAGGGTGGAGGTCAGGGATTTACATAGAAGCCGGGCTGGAGGGTGGTGGGCTGACACATGGGTGGAGTGGACAGGACTGGCTGGGTTACATCAGGCACCTAATAGGTGTGGGTCAACAGATGGACTAGAAGGGCCCTGGAGTGTCTGGCTTGGCTCTGTAGGTCCGGGGGTTCTCATCTCCGAGTGATCTAGACACAGGAGAGTCTGTAAACAGGAGCTGTGTCTCAGAGGATGCTGGCTGGCTAGTCCGAGTTTCTGAGCACAGGGCTGGCGACAGCAAGAGAGAAGCCAGAGGCACAGACAGGCCTCAGAGGGCTACCCACCAGCAGCCAGTAAGTCAAGACTCTCCCAGGCTTAGATTTCTGACAACTGGGCAGCTCACCATCACTCCGAGACGGGTGGGCAAAGTTCAGTTTTGAGACAGGAGACCTTGCTAACTATTATTCCAGACCTTTGCGATGCTCCAAAGTATGAAAATAACATCTCAATCACTTCATTTAAAAATGTTCAGTTGTGTCTGTTCGTAACAACAACCAGCTCTTCTCGATACTACTCTCACTTTGACCTTGTTTAACGAAACAAAGTCACACCTCATCTGGAAAGTGTTTTATCAGAAATGATGCAACGCTTGCCCTCAAGGTTCCGGCTGCCTTTTCGGATGACGGTGGCGAATGAAGTGAGCTGCCTGAGCACCGCGCCATCGGGAGCGGCAAAGGGATGCCAGCCTGTCCCTCCTGCTACACTGAACAAAGACAGTGAGCACAAGGACATGGATTCAGGGATCAAAGTTTCAGATACTAACTCAGCGCACGGCCTGGAAAACCACATGGGCGTGTCACACAGCAAAAAGTTAGCCAGTGTGTATGGAAACGAGCGAACCCCTGAGCCCTGCAGCCATCGTAGGGGTGCACTTAGATGAAACGCCATGCTTTCCTAAAGGCCACAGAGAAAGCCACCAGGGCTCTGTCCCGCACTGCTGGTGCCAGCTCGTCTGGTGGAATGGCTCTCGA